AAAAAAAAAGACAGAGTTTCACTGTATTGCTCCAGGCTAGAGTGCTGTAGCCTCATAGTTCACAGCAATTTCAAACTCCTGGCCTTAGGCTTGCTGTGGTGGCTCACGCCTATAATCCTAACACTCTGGGAGGCTGGGGTGGACAATAGCCTGAACTCAGGACCAGCCTGAGCAAGAACAAGATCCCATCTCCACTAAAAATAGAAAAACTGAGGCAGGACAGCGTGGCGCCTGTAACTAAGTGGCTGGGCATCAGCCACATACACCAAGGCTGACGGGTTCAAACCTAGCCTGGGCCTGCTTAACAACAACAACTACAACAAAAAAATAGCCAGGAGTTGTGGTGAGCACCTGTTGTCCCAGCTACTTGGGAATCTGAGGCAAGAGAATCACTTAAGCCCAAGAGTTTGAGGTTGCTATGAGACATGACACTACAGCACTGTATGGGGGCTGACATGGTGAAACTCTGTCTCAAAGAAAAAAAAAAACCTGAGGCTGGAGGATTGCTTGAGCCCAAGAGTTGGAGGTTGCTGTGAGCTTGACCCCAGGGTCTACCGAGGATGACAAAGTGAGACTATGTAAGAAACAGGGTCTCATTATATGGCCCAGGCTGGTCTCAAACTCCTGGCCTCAGGTGAGCCTCCTGCCTTAGCCTCCAAAAGTGCTGGGATTACAGGCATGAGTCACCATGCCTAGCATATGTTTGTTCATTATAAGTGGTATTGAACATACGTTCTTTAAGCCATTTACATTTACTTTTGTGTGAGTTGACATAGTTAAGTAAATTTTTATTGGTTTATTGGTCTTTGATATGTAAGAAGTCTTTATTAGGGATATTAGCAAGTTTATTGTATGCATTACAAACATTTCCATCAAATTTGTCCTGTCTTTTAACTTTGTATATGAATTTTTTTTCCCCATCAGAAACTTTGGATTTTCTAAATTTGTTCATACATACACAGTGGCTCATGTCTGTAATCCTACCACTCTGGGAGGCTGAGGCAGGTGGATTGTGTGAGCTCACAAGTTCAAGACCATCCTGAGCAAGTGCAAGCTCCCATCTCTAAAAAATAGCCAGGCATTGTGGCAGGCACCTGTCATCCAGCAACTTGGAAGGCTGAGGCAGGAGGACCTTTC